CGGGAGAGGGATAATGTATGTTCTTTAAGAGTGTGGCCTCTGGTGTATTGACCATACTCCAGCGGAAGGCCACACATCAAAGAACACGTAAGTGGGTTTAAAAGGGGGGAATAAAAGGAGAAGTACATAAGGTTGGGTGGGTAGGGAAGGGGGTGGATCTTGGAGGAGTGTGGTTTGGTTTGAGCGTGACCAAAATAGACTGCCCAAAATTCTCAAAGAACTAATTAAGAGTGAGGGGGAAATGAAGAATTAGCTGTCCCACTCACCACTAAAGCTTGATCAGTGGTGTAACTCCTTTGTCACTGCCTTCTCCAAATCGCACATGTGGTTAAGCAAACACGGGCAGTAGGATCAGACACAATCCTAGAGCCCATTGTTGGCTCTGCTTCATACTGGGCATCTTTGAGTGGGCTTTTGGCTTTTCAATAGCAAAACACAACGCCTGCCTCTCGATGCTCATGGGCACTCACCCTCTGAAACTGTTTTAAGCAAGCCTCCAAATAAACTCTTTTTTCTATAAATTGTCTTCATCACAGCACAGCAATAGACATTGCTACGGCAAGGACGAAGATGGAAAATGAATGTCCAGGTAAGAAGGCTGAAATTCCAAACATATGGACCAGGTGAAATCTGAGGAGCCGGCTACCCTTCCTCTCTCCCCACCTCTATCAGCGATCTTGCTGCCTTCACTGCTGGACCTCTGTGAACTCATCTTCATGCTGTCAAAACGAACATGCTTCTAAAATTCAATTTGGTCACCTTCTTACTAAAAGCCTCCACTAACTACTGGGACTGATTTCCAGGAGCTGCTCAAATTGCATCAGTTTGTTATGTCAGGTGAGGTGGCTCCCACCTGTAACATCTGCATTGGTAGCAGCTATAAGCAAAGGTAGCAGGACCTACCACAATGTCAAAAGTGAACCCAGGTTATACTGTGAGCTCCAGGCTAGCCTGGGCTACAGGGAAACCCCATCTAAAGCAATCCTGTCACAATGTAGTCTCAATCAATCTACCCAGAATACCTTCTCATTATACAAGAAAACTGTACCTAAGCACTTACGTTTTATCTATGGAGGGATGATAGGTTCCCAATACTCTCATTTTCTTCCCTATTCATAATGTTAAACTCTAAAAATACAGAAAACACCTATAAGCTTCATATATACTAGTCCCTTCATTGCTATGCCTCTCTTCCAAATTTTGCAAAGGGTACGCTAACCAGTAGGAAACTTCATCCAGCCACTAGAAATATACAACCTGCTTTTCACTATTTACTAAACGATTGAGAAAAATGTATACATCAGAGTTGTTGGCACAGGACAGCAGCTAAACAATAAACACTGGTTATATGACATACAATCAACTTGATTATCTTGTGGGTTTGACTAAACCAGAAGACTTTAACCTCAATACAGCTGTGTATTGGTTACAAATCAGGATGAGTAAAGAGAGAAAACTGAGTTAAGAACTGTGACTGATGATGAGCAAAGGAGTTAAGACTGGGCTGGTTTAACCCACTGAAACAGTTGACTTCAACAAGGGGGAGCTTTTGGACCCCAGATTGATGGCTGGGTAGACAGCATGGGACTGACCCAGACCCCCTGAATGTGGGTATCAGTGAGGAGGCCTAGGTAATCTATGGGCCCTTGGGTAGTATTTATCCCTGGCATACAGACAGACTTTGAGTGCCCATCCCACAGTGAGGGAAGCTCTCTCAGCCTGGACTCTTGTGGGACAGGCTAGGCCCTGCCCTGGATGAAACAACAGACACTGGAGATCCACCATGGAGGGCCTCACCCTCCCTGGGTGGAGATTGGGTGAGGGATTAGGGGGCCTGGTGGGGAGAGCAGGGGGAGGAGGGGAGGGAGAGGGAGCTGGGATTGACATGTGAAACAAGCTTGTTTCTAACTTAAATTTTAAAAAAAGGAAGAGAAAAAAAAGAAAGACTAGATGTATGAAAATAATTTCTTTATAAACAAAGCTAAATTTTTAATTTTTAAGTAAAAACAAAAACCTGTGACTGAGCCTGGTAACATTCCTTTTGAATTCCATGGTTACAGGAGCCACTACTCTTTGTGGTAAATCTATGTTTATCTGTCACACATGATAAGTGCTTAGCGTTGATCCATCTCCCTAGCTCCAATCACAATAACTCAATAATAATCAAATAAAAAGATCATCAATTTGGGAGGGACACAAAGAATGAACATGGGAGGGGTTGAAGGGGTGGACCACGGGAGGAGTTGTAGAGGGATAATGATGTAATCATTTTTTAATTAAAGATAGTATTTAAACATATAGACAAAAATCTATGTTTATTATTTGTCAAGTTTGATTTGAATATAATATTTAATTTGATTTTTAAAATATGTTCAAAATAGGAGAAAAAAAGGAGTTTGCATTTTCTGATAAATACACTAAATGCCATACTAATCATAAATGTGTAGCTTCATTTGAAATAAAACAAAAATATCACTGTATACATTTTTTTCATTAGTACCAAGGAAGGTACACAGAAAATATCTGTTGTTAGTTGAGCTATGAGCTGACACCTTGTATATACATTATATAAATTTCTAGGACGGGCGTTGGTGGCACACGCCTTTAATCCCAGCACTCGGGAGGCAGAGGCAGGCGGATCTCGGTGAGTTCGAGGCCAGCCTGGTCTACAAAGTGAGGTCCAGGACAGCCTCCAAAGCTACAGAGAAACCCTGTCTCGAAAAACCAAAAAAAAAATTCTATAGGACCTGGGTAATACAGACCTAAAGATTTCAAAATGTGTGCAATAGTTAAAAGTACATGTTACTAAGACTAATCAGACAAATATGTAAACGTATGTATGGAAATGGGAAAAAGAAGTATTTTTAAATGAATATCCCTCAACGTACTTGTAATTGGTAAAGGTTGAAAGTGAGTTCCTAACAGATAGTTAGCTAAATGTTGTATATCAGACCCAGAAAAATATATACAGCTATGTTGAATAGCATTAAAAAATCCATAACTTATTAAGTTAAAATAAGTCGCAAATATGACATATTTGTAAGGAGAGGAAGACAAAATTATGCAGAGAAACACTCTCACAGACAGAAGCCAAAATGCTAACTTTTGGGAAGTTTGGGAAATAAATGTTTTACTTCTTGTTTTTCAGTAGCACTTTATTAAAATTCATTTAGAAGTTTTCTAAATAAGAAATATGGAACAACATAAACCCAGATTATTTTGTATAAATAAACTCATTAGTCAATGAGAAAGAGAAAATATGACAGGGGCATCATGTAGCATAATGTCAGACACAGAGAAGCTTATATTACCTGTTAGCATGCTCACAGGATACTTCAGTGAGCTACTCAAGCAATCTTCACGATCATGTATGAATTTCACAAACTTCATACTGTATGTCCCAAGAAGCCAACTTCGGCCAACATAGAGAGCAGACTGTCCATGTGGGTGGTAACCACTTTAACTTGCATCATTACTGTTCACAAAACAGCCTCGTGTAAAGGCCAATGTCACCTACAGGATTTCCCAATCTCCTGCCACTTAGAGTTTAATCATCTATGGTCAAGCAACAATCTCTGCGAAAAAGTGGCTACCATCTCAAACTCTGCCTCTAAGCAGTTTTGTAATTTACGTCATTCTCATGCTCTAGATGCTATACAAAAAATTGGCAAGATGGGCAGAGACTGAAAGCAAGACAATGGCATGGAAGAACCATAATCATCTGACGTCACGTACAACAAAGTAAATAGTTTTCTACTTTTGCTTTGTTTCACAGAGTTTTGCTAAAAAATGCTTCCCGCTTGTACCATTAAAATAATGATTTCCTCGAGGTCGGTAGTCTCCAGCACTGATTGCACCAGAGCTGCAATTCTCACATGTAAATTCTCTTTTCAAAGCCTGATTTATAATCGCTACTCTCCATTTCCTAGAAAAAGGGTCAGCATGGTCAACTGGTGCATGATAACCCTCGTCTGGAGTTGAGGGAAACTGATTAACACAGCAGGAACTCTTACAAAGGTAACTGATTACACCAGTTTATCAAAGAACGTCCTAAATTATGGTGTGTATCCTCAAATCGATACTAATAGCATTGCTTCTCGCTCACTAATATCCCAGGTTGGGTAGGACATTGTCTAACCAGATTGCTGCCCACACACAATTTATACCGTGATAGCTCTAGAACATAGAATACATGCTTCAAGCTATCCACGTCCATATTTACCACGTCACACATTGGAAAGTGAACACAAACAAAGACACAGGAGAATCAGACACTCAAATGTCACCAGAGTTAATCTGTTACCACATGGGCCCACTGTCTAATGGATCATCAAATCACACACCTTAAAGATTTAAGATATACTCAGAAATTTGATCAAACTATTGGTAATTGTTGTGAGTTATGTGCCTCTAACAGTCCAAACAATTTCATGAAACAATGGTGTATATATAACCTTCATATAAGTCTAAATATTTCAATCTTGGCAACTGGTACAAACTATTCACCCAGTTACTTGACTAGAATGCTTTTAAAAAATAAAAAAACTAAACACCTTAATTGCATCTTTATCAGTCACGTTGCCTTAAATAAGTGAATACACACACACACACACACAGTTGCATATCAAACAAAATCAAGAATCATAAATATAAAAGAAAAAAGAATTATAAAAGTAAGGTTAAATCAAAGATTATTCCTAGGCATATTAAAAATTTCTGTGATGGGGGGTAGTTGTTTTGTTTGCAGGCAGTAATTTCTCCTTACAAAGTTCTATATAACAAGTATTTTTTATACCAACGTAATGCAAAATAACTGAAAGAACACATGTGACTGTATGATATCCACCTACATAAACTACAATGTATCCCACTCCATTCATTACTGGAAGCTGTAGTTCATATCTATAGACTTGTTAGAAATATATTTTTCCCTAAAAGTCGTAGCACTGTCCTTAAGTTGCATATCCAGTAAAACGGGAATGACGAAGTCGAACACTCACTTGCACATCTGTTCATATCTGGAGCTCGATGTCCGTAGTACCCCGATGGGCAGGAATGCAGACACTCTCCATACTGGCGCATGCCTTCTCTTCGAAGGAAGAAGAACAGTTTCTGCTGGCATCGGCTGCAGCCATTGTCCTTTGAACAAGACAAACAACCCTTGCAAGTGGGATTTGACACATAACTAGCTGTAACAGAGAAGAGAAAGGAAAATATTTAAATATGAATACGGCTAGACCTTTGGTCTATATATCATCGTGAAAGAAAGAAGCCTTGGGTTATAGATACAAGAGGTGAAGCTGCTACTGTCAGCTTTCTAAACCAGTGTAACGCCTAACGATTTTCTAAGTACTCATAGTTATATCTAGAGACACCGATAGCTCTCACCCCTTATCAAAGGAACTTATTTTTGAAACAGTAGAAGACTATGAAAGAGAACTACAACTGGTCAAAACGTGGGGACAAAGTAACTGCAGAGTGAGAACCTAAAACTGATGAGTCTACAATGCAAGCCCTACATTTCAAGCTCAGGGGAAATCATGAAAGAGATGAAAGATATATTCTACGAGCCAGAGGCCAAGGATGCCTGTGGATAGATCATGTCTCCTAGGTGTGACAGAGAAAATTTGTCATTGAACTTTCAACAATACGGTTGCCTGAATAAAACCAGCACGGTGACACCAGGTGACTCACCAGTGCAGGCAGGAAATTCCGCATGGCTCCACCCCTAGATAAGACATGTGTAGGCAGCCAGTGGCTGCTGAGAGAGTAAGATTCAACTGCCTCCAGGGGAAATCAATCCCACATAGGTTGTCCAATTCTAAGAGGTCAACCCTAGACACATACACCTATGAACAAAACTGAATGCTGTACTTTATATTTATATATGTTTATAATACATGGGTACATATATGCATGTGAATATACATTAACAATAATAAAGAAGAGACCATGAACTTGGGTAGGCGGACAACAAAGGAGTTAAGAGTATAGAAAGGGTGGGAAAGAGTTAGATAGGTGAAGTCTCTGCTTTACTCGCATAGAAATATTAACAAATATCCTCACTCTGGGGGAGAATGAAGCTTTTAAAGTTTTAAGAGTTTAAGAAAAATACTCTCATCTTAGAGAGTAAAAGCAAACATTTAAATTTAGCATCAATGTAAGACTTGCAGAGAATCCCAAATTAAACTTTGTAAGTTTCTTCAGTATCAAGTAGTGATACTGATAAATTCAATTATAAGTTGAAATGCACTTACTCTAACTTTAAGGTAGTGACCAAAAATAGGATAAGGCATAGAATTGCTAAACCAATAAGTCGACAAAATAAATGCAAGAACCCAGATGTCCATGGATGAAATGGATATACTGTGGGATGTTCACACTATAGATTCAACTCAACAATAAAATACGGAGAGTTGTAGAAAAGGCAGGTAGAAGGGAGAAGAAACAGTGGAGGGAGTGGTAAGAAAAATCAGAAAGAATCATATACAGGTAGGAAACTGTCAAGGAACATATTAAATAAAAACGATAATGACACTGATAGAGAGTCTGGGAAACAGGAAAGAACCTAAAAGATATGCATGGTACCCAAGAGAAGAGGAATGAGGCAAGATCCTCTGAACAGATGGGGAACACGGCAAGGGGTGGGGGGGAGTGGGAGCTAGGAAGAAGAGAGGGGGAGAAGAGGAAGAGAGAATAGGTCATGGGGGAACAGGAAGGTTGAGTGGGGGGGTAGAATATGGGGAAGAGGGAATCATAGGTTAGAAGACAGATCAGGCACCAGTGTGACCTCTAGTGATCTAAAGTAATGACACCAATTGGTAAGCTAAGCAATAGTGGAGAGACCACCTCGAATGCCCATTCCTGATAATGAACTTGATGTCTATAACCATCCGGGAACCTTCATCCAGTGACTGATGGGAGCAGAGGCAAACACCCACAGTTAAACACTGAACTGAACCCAAGGAACCCAGTGACAGAGAGAGAGGAGCGGTGAGCAAATGGGCAAAGAATGGGCTGGCAAAACCAGCAGAGACAGCTGATCTGAACAGGGGAGAGCTCTTGGACCCCAGACCGACAGTGGGGAGGCCAGCATGGGACTGATCCAGACCCCCAGAGTGTGAGAGTCAGTGAAGAGACCTGGGCAACCTATGGGGCCCTGAGCAGTGGATCAGTGTTTAACCCTGGAATACAGACATCATGTGTCCATAGCACAAAGAGGGATGCTCTCTCAGCCTGGACTCTTAGGGGAGTGCCTGGACCCTACCCTGAGTGAAATGACAGACTCTAGATATCCCCTATGTGGAAGGAATTGGCAATAGGATGGGAGGCTGGGGGTGGATTGGGGGAGTGCGGGAGGAGGGGAGGGAGAGGGAACTGGGATTAACATGTAAAACAAGCTATTTAAAATTAAAATTAAAAAATTTTAAAAATGATAATGAAAACAGGATTTTGTAATAGTTTTAAAAATACAAAAGGTTCTCTGTGCACATGCTATAAAATTTGGAAACTATGTAATCTGGCATTACATCTTCCACCTTTTAGTATGTTCCTTTGTGCTGAACATGTAATCTTAATGCAGTACTATGGAGCACATACTCATGTGAGCAGACACACAACACAGAGTGCTGTACCCTACTGTAACCCAGCCCATTCCTTTATGTTGAACGACTCACCTTCCAACACATTAATAACTGTGGCAGACCTATACAAGTCTTAGTTCCACAAGATTGCCTATCACCTGTCCTCCCAGAGATCTGTCCCATGGACATTCCATTGACTTACAAAGCTATGTATTCCAAATAATTTTCAATTTACTGCCTTCATTCTGTAACTCTGGAGCTATATGAACCAATCACAGATTGGGTGGAGAGAACAATTCAGATGGAAAAAAAAGTCTTTTTAGCTATAAGTAATAAAATTGGGTGAATGCTTTTCCAGATGGTCCTCTATGTTCATACAAATACATACAATATGTGATTCATAGTTTTTCATACATATGATCATATTACATATGATGAGGGATAATGTTTCCCTTTAGGTGAAAAGCTGTACAAACTTTTTCCAAGGCAATGATCTAGATTAGTGTCTGTAACCCTATTTCCTGGAAGCAGTTATACCTGCTACCTCCATGTACCCCAAACTTTGCTCAGTTATCTTCAAGAATACTCTTTCTGAAAGTCACAATCATTTTCATCCTTCTACATAAAGCCTCCTTTGTAATTACTGAACTTTGATGGATTCAAACTTTGAGGAGAATTAGGGAATACTTCTTCTCAGTCCAGATCTTACCTATCTTTATAAGCCTCCACATGAGGAATTCTCCTGAAGCAACAGCAATGTGAATGCATCCAATCTAAAGGCTCCGTTTGCCTTTTCCAACTCCCATAGCTTGGGTTGCTAAGGTTGCCTTCATTCTCTGACGATAATCTTACAGCCTCTCCCAAATACTTGATTCTACAATTCATTCTTATTAGTTCTACTGATCTCTACTTAGGCCTTTCTTATTTTTCTTTTTGCACATTTACGGAGCCCAACTCTGGGCTGATGTTTTCTTCCTTCACTCTGTATTGTATTGTTAAGTGAATTTTACCATGTATATAAACTTTATATCGTATTTCTGCTAAAGATTAGGATTCCTTTTAATAAAGCAGCTCCATATAACTTTCTAAATTCCCAGTTACCTTTGGAAAAGGATTTATTCTCATACTGTTCTTGGTGTCCTGAGCAAGTATGAGTTTTGGCAAACTTAGATCCAGATGAACATTTCTGTGTAATAAAGGGAAAACTAAGGGCTAGTAAGAGTCCCAATATCTGGGAAGCAGAAACAGAAATGGAATGTAGAAGCTGCAGTGCAGTCCAAAAGCTGGCTGGGAAAAAGTCCGCTGTCTGATTTTCAGACTTGCCCAAGGACCATATCCACCTGAAGCACAGCCTCGGTAGATGGGCATTTTGGGAACTCTCGTGTGTACAGCTAGGTGACAGAAGCAGGAGCGAGTGGGAGTTGCGGTAGATGCTGCATCCAGAGCCCAGCACAAGCTCCTCTGCAACCAGTGGGAGGGAGTGTGCTGCCTCTCTGCTGCTGTTGGAGTTAATCACACATTAGGAAAAGGCTAAGCAAATCTCAAAGCTAGCTTTGAAGCGAGAGGAGAATTTGAAAGGTTTGTACTCATGGAAGGAGGCTTAAGGAGGTTGTCTATCCCACGGTGATCACAACTCAACTGAAGCTATACTTGCTTTGAGTTCAAAGGTCAAACTAAGAGCACTTTATCATCACAAATCATACTCCACAGCAAGAAGTACAGAGGGAAGGGAATTACAGAACCAAGGGAATCAACACAAATTAAAGGCTGGTTTTTTGTTTTGTATTTATATATCGGAAGACTAACTTTCATCATGACCACAAGGATTTCAGAGCCAACAGATTTTGCCCTGCATTTATTTCTTAAAAGGTGTTTTTAAAACCGTGGCAACACATTGCTTAGGTTACTTGAACCTTGACAGACTGAAAAGATAAAAATGAATCGGGGAAGCCTTACCATCATCTCTATCTTCATTATCTTTATAACCTGGCCCAGAAGGAATTCTCTTAAAGCAGGAGTGATGTGCCACACCCAAAGCTAAGTGCTCTGTTAGCAGGTCCTCAAGTCTCGGGTTTCCAACACTTCTCAGTACCAAAGGTCAAGGGCAGAAGTGAGTTCGGCAAGTTGAAGCTTCTCTCCCCAATCCTCAAACAGAATTTCAGTTAAATTGCCCTTCGTTGACGCCAGTTAGCTCCGTAGTCTTTTCTGCGCTGTAGATCAACAACACCTCAGGAGCAATCCAACCAGAACTTCTCCATCTATTCTATATGTTAACTACCCTAACCTCGTATCCAATTCGGGCAAAAGAGGTAACTTAGACATGACGGTTTTATCAAGGTCATAAGTCAAACGGCCCTGCCTACTGCTGTGAGATTTAACTCGAGTGTGCAGGTGGGTAAACATTTCTTAACTCCCAGCTCCGATGACCAGGTTTATTTGTTGTTTTTCTGTAAGCTCCAACTTCCCCAACCTCCAGGCCTGCTGAGATGCAGAGCTTCGTACTTCCAAGCAAAACATGTTTCCAAATCTAGACCCACCCAGCCTGGAAAGATAAAACATCGCATGAAACATAGAGAACACTGAAAAAGACGATGGGGATACTGCAA